CCTCCTCCTCCTCCTCCTACCTCTCCTCCTCCTGCTTCGCCTGCTGCTCCTCCTCGGTGACCTTGACGAGCTCGGCCCCTATCTCGCCTCCACCTCCTCCTCCTCCTCCACCACCACCTCCTCCTCTTCCTCCTCCTACCTCTCCTCCTCCTGCTTCGCCTGCTGCTCCTCCTCGGTGACCTTGACGAGCTCGGCCCCTATCTCGCCTCCACCTCCTCCTCCTCCTCCACCACCACCTCCTCCTCCTCCTCATACCTCTCCTCCTCCTGCTTCGCCTGCTGCTCCTCCTCGGTGACCTTGACGAGCTCGGCGCCTATCTCACGTCGCTCGTTGTCGATCATCTGCAGCTGCTCGGTGAGCATCTGCTCCTGCATGCGTAACCGTGACAACTGCTCGTCGAGGCCCGCGAGAGCGTCGCCGGACGGACGCTCCTGCATCTGCTCCAGGAAGTCTCTGCAAGGGAAGCGTCGTACCGGGATTTATCCGGGAGTCGTAGGGGAGTTATCCGGGAGTCGTACGGGAAGCCATCTGGGAGCTGTCAGGGAATTATCCGGGAGTCGTACGGGAACATTATCTGGGAGTCATACAGTAGTTATCTGGGACTTATCCAGGAGTTATCTGGGACTTATCCAGGAGTTATCTGGGACTTATCCAGGGCTCATCTGGGATTTATCAGCGAGTTGTTGGGGAATTATCCGGGAGTAATCCTAGAATTATCATCCGGGCTCACATGGGGGTTGTGAGATGACGTAGAACAGGGATATGCGAGGCAGCAGCCAGGCTTTGGGGAAGGGGAAAGAAGCCAGGGAGGGATACGTTGGGGGAGTGACCCACCCATAGAGTGAGGGGACAGCAGTGGGATGCATCCAATAGAGCAGCTGATGTTACAGGGATGGTCTTATGGCAAAATCACATTCCAATGCATTCCACTGCTTGCTGGGTGTTAGCCAGCGGGAAAATTTGATCAGGGGTGGGCTCTCTCACCATCTGAGCCGTCAAGCAAGGATGCTTGTGCCTGGGGGCGCGAAGGCTGCCCTGATAATTATGCCCGGGAAGCGGAAAACCGACGATTTTATTTTCACGGCGTGAGTTGGTGTAAAAATTGTGGTTTGCGCCTCATGTGTCGATCGCTCTATCAAATTTCATTCCGTTTCATCCATCTGAAAATTATGGTCATCGAAAGTTAACCGCTAGGTGAATAGACTGGTCTCCCCTGCTAGAAACACACTGTGATGTGGCGAGGGAAGGTGATCAGGGCCGTTACGCAGCAGGGGCAGCAGGGGCAGTTGCCCCCTTACCGAGATTTTTCAGAGTATGCATTTTAATGTGGTGACAATATACTGCTCACTTTTTTTAGAATAATAATTAGTTGACAAAAGGTGTATCTTAAAATCATCATAAGAAAATTACACTTTAAATAAAGATATTCGTGGTAAATTTGGATCGAACGTTAATAGGTAAACAAATTAAGAGGGGCATGTGGTTTGCGGCCCTGAGAGTCGTTGAGTGGGAGTAGTTCTTTGACCCCCCTACAGTAATCACTTTTCTGGTATGCCTCTTGAAGGGTCACAGGTTGCAGGGATGATTCCCATAGTGCGCCTCACTGTCGCATTAATCAACATCGATAATCACCGAATGTTCAGGTCCAGCAACGTTAATGCTGGATGTCATTCGGAATATATGATGTTTGGCATACAGACCATCCCTGTAACATTGACAGCGCTTTGCCCCTTCTTCGTATGGGATGCATGCCTCACTGCTGTCCCCTCATCTCTTATTGCGGGGTCGGTCACGTACCCAAGCGTATCCTCCCTGCGCTTCCTTTCCACCTTCCCCAAAAGGCCGCGGCAAATAGTCTGCTGTCGCAATTATTGTGGTGTCTAACGGTCATTCTTCCATACGCCCCATGTCGATTCCGGAGTCCCGGGGTATTTGATACATTTCCAGAAGATTTACTCAGCGAGGATAATTTCCCAAACAGGACTCGCTGCTCATAGTAGTTCCTCGCAAGATGGCGGGATGGCCTTCTAGGATAAGTGCTCCCTAGACCTAACTCCTGGATACACGTTCCTGTGCTATAAGCTCCCATCCTCGTATCATTCCACCCTGTTATGACTCCCAGATAATGTCCCTTGACGACTCCCGGACTAATTCCCTGACAGCCCCCTAGATGGCTTCACCGTATGACTCCCGGATTAACTCCCTACCGACTCCCGGATAAATTCCTCCTCGGTGGTACGATACGCTCCTCTTTTCGGGCTCAGTGGATCTTTTCTGGAGCAGATAGCAGCGAGCGTCCCTGTCCTCGGCGACGCTTCTCGCCGGGCCGTCGTTACGACGCAGTTGTCACGGTTACTCCTATGCAGTGAGCAGCTATCGCTCACCGAGCAGCTGCAGTACTGATCGACCATTCCTACACCGATAGCGCACCGCGAGATAGGTGGCCTGAGCTCGTCAAGGTCACGCGAGGAGGAAGCAGCGGATTGCGCGGACGCAGTCGAGGAGGAGCACGAGTAGCGAGTGGAGAAGAGGAGCGGAGAGGATTTGGTTTCGCTTGGTCGGATGGAGGAGGTACACGTGGATCTCTAATTATTCTTTTCTAGGTCGAGATAACGGGGGCCTGAGCTCGCCAAGGTCACCGAGGCAGGACAGCAGGCGAATGCAGGAGTGAGCCGAGGATGGTAGGGATGAGGAGGGGGAGAGGGATTGTGGGTGTGGGAGAGGTAGGGCAGGAGGAGACGGTTAGGAGGAGAGGGGGGAGGGCTAGAGGGAGGTGGTCGGAGAGGTAGAGGAGAGTGGAATTTCGCTCGGGGATTGTTGATAGGGCTGTGAGAATACGCTCAAAGGGTCGTCCCGAGGAGGGTCAGGAGCAGCAGGCCGTGAGCTAGTGGGGCAGGAGTGAGAGTGGCTAATGAGGGAGTCGAGGGGGAGGGGAGGGGGTTTAGGAGGTAGAGAAGCGTTGTGTTGGAGCGAGCGACGGGTGGTGGGGACGTGAGAGGTTAGGGCCAGGAATCTCGCCTGAAGCCGGTCACCGAGGAGGAGCAGCAGGCGAAGCAGGAGGAGGAGAGGTAGGAGGGAGGAAGAGGAGGAGGTGGGTCGCAGGTGGTGGGTTGCGGGTAGGAGTGAGGGAAGGTTTGGTTATCCAGCCCTTGTGGTGGCAGTGGGGTGGAGGATACGAGTGTATGAGGACGGATAGATCCGAGAAGTGACGCGACGCCGGTCAGGTTAGTAGTGTATGCGAGGGAGAAGTATGAGGGATGGAGATGGACTCTAGGAAAGTGCAGTCTACGCAGGTAAATCGGCCGTCGTCTGAATGCATGTTAAAAATGAACAGTGGTGGTGAGTGCCCCGCTCAGGATGAAGGTGAGCCGCGTACGAGAAGTATTCAGCTCTCGGTAGTGAGGACTGCTGGCGACGCAAGGATGAGACCGGTAGTGCGGACAGGTGAGAGGAGGACCGCGGGAGGTAGGAGGCCGGAGAGGTGGGAGGTGGACGGCAGAGGTAGGAGGAAGTAGGCGAAGAGGCAGTAGAAAGCATTGACAAAAGCGGAGGTAGCGAAGGCTAGCTGCACGGCAAAGTATAGATCTAGTACATTAATATAATGTGCCTCCCGTCTCGGCCGACATTGCTACTTGTGCTGTTGGTAGTTGTTATAGTTTGAACTGGTCTTGCATCTGGTGACATAGCAAAGGACAGTCGTCTGACCTCGCCCATAAATCCTGTTCAACGTTTCTAGTTTAGCCATATTTTGATTAGGGTTTACTAAGACGTCTGTTACATGTTTAATTTTTCTAGGTGTCGATTACCGGAGAGATATGGTACCGAATGCAAGAGGTTACATGCTATGAGTTACGATGATGAACACAAAACCAGATACGGTGAGGGTGTATGTTAGTGACAGTTTTTATACAGACTGGGTGCTGAAACGAGCAAGCTTTGGTTCGATCTTTTGATAATCAAAAAACTTTGGTTTGGTGCATTGGTTAAATTAGTGACTATTTATTTTCTGTCAATAGATTACGACCTTGCGCTCCATAGAGGTTTGTTTGTTGCAATTTGTTTACTACTGCCTCACCACCCACGTTATTTTTTGGAAAATGGGCTGATTATGTTAAAGTTAGCCGCATTTCTCTTAATGAGTTATTACAGCGTCTACAAAATCTAGGAAATTGGTATGGATATAAGGTGCGTTTTATATTATCAGTAGCGATTGTCTAGTGTCGGAATGCTCACATTTGATGCCCGCAGTTTGCGTATTGTGGCGTTAACGTGATTAGAATATTTCTCTTTTTCCCAGTGCTTATCGTGACAACCAAAGTTGAAATTGATGCCACTTTAGTTACTACTTAGTTAGAAATAAACTGAAGGAAAATTCAAAATGTTTCAATGCAACAGGTCCATATTTTCTGGTAAGCAGATCCAAGCATGGCAGTCAGTTCAGAGTTGAACTATGTATCCGCAACCGACTTGTCAATAAATGTGCCATTTCACTAGCAATATTATAGTTCGTTATAATCTCTACACTGTATTAGGGATTTTTGATAACAGATTATAATCATTTAACTTCATAATATTTAATATTCTAATTTCAAAATACATCTATTATTATCTTCTTTCTTGATTTGTACTTTGCGTGTCGTAAAATCTTTCTAGTTTTGTTTCAGGTCACAATTTGTGCCATTTTTGGACGATTATTAAACAATTTTAGGACTTGGGAGCGAAGACTACCGCAGGATGTCCTCGGTATTGTTGTTGTCGCATGTGTTGGAGTCTGAAATGCCCCTATTGAATAGCCCGCAATGTGTTTTTGATTCTTATCAATTCGTTGAAAGTTCGTCTAGACTTTCTTGTACATAATTACCCCTAGCCACCAAGGCCCTGATTGTATCACCAGACACATGTACACACCCATTTCCAGCATCCTTCATCCTAAACCTCTACCTCGCTCCCCTTTAG